ATTTATTGTACATCGCAATTTCAAAATAAAAGTTTCTGACTTTGCATGTGGCCAAATATTAAAATTAAATGGATTTAAATGTTGAATCACATGAAACCTCACCAGGCCGTTGGCGCCCTCTGCAGGTATTTGTTATAAATATAGGCATATTACATTATGTATTTAACAGTGTTGTTCAATAAAACCATGTACTTGGTTTTGATACTTTATTTGAGGCCAATGATTATTGCATCATCATTACTTTATAAATATAGTCATATTAAAACCTGTTTTTCCACTTAGTTCTATTTGTATTACTAAAATATATAAGATTATTTGTCAAAATAATCAGTAGATTACTTGATTAGCAAAACATAAGGAAAGCGATAACTTTGCCATAGTATCCTTTCAAATGTTACATTTGCCACAGCCATTGCATTCTTTGCATGTGCTACACTTTATTTGTACCATTTTGTTTTATTAGTTTATTTATTAGAATTTGAAAGATAATAACAATATTGATTGATTAGTGAGATCTGATTTTAGTCCTTGAAAACCAAAAAAATAATGCAAGTCCTTGAAAGTCCTGGAATTTTATCTTGTAGTATCTGTACAAACCCTGTTTAAGTTACCAGTTCTTGGACCATTTTAATGTTTTTGTTGTTGTTAATTGAACTGAACTGTAGTTTTCTGTAGTAAACGGTCTTTGTATATTTCCTATTTTATATTAATTTCCTAGTATTTAATTTACCATTATTTCTTTTGAACAAAGCAATTTCAGAAAATTCATGTTTTAGATTGTAGGTCATCTTGTACCCTGTCAAGGACAAAGCTAACCAGCAAAACTTGATATCAAAAGCATCCTAAATGTTACATGTGTTTGCACCATATTGTAATGAGTAAACTTTCTTGGTATTGCTGTTTCAAATATCCCACCATCTGTAGTCTGAGCCTGTCAAGGGCTAATGGCAATGGCAGATACGTTACTAGTTAGTTTCTTTTTTTGTTTGCCAAATAACCCTGTGTATGTGTCTTCCCCCGCAACCTCCAACCCCCAGAAAAAAGTTCAGACTCAGGATTTTATTTTTGCTTTAACCTGATTTGTTTTATTAATTTATACTATTATGAATAAATGTAAATATATATATATATATATATATATAAACACACAATTAAAATTATGTATACAAGTGTAGTATAAATTTAAACATTTTAATTATAAAATCAACCTAAAATATAAATATTAACCTAAAGTCTTGATGTTGAAAAAGTTATTGCCCATGTTATTTGTCACCAACCCTTTTACATATTGCATTATTAAAAACCTGGACCTCAGAAGTGACCTGCTGAGAGTTCATACCTTCAGAGTTGACTTGTTTGACGGAGGGTGATCTGGAGCGGTTGCTGAGGGAGGGCTGTTTGTTAGTGTCAGAGCTGATGAAGGAGATGGCATCTTCTCCCTCAGCCGTGCCCATCAGAGACGTTCTGTAGTAAATCAGCGGCATCCAGCTCTCCTCTCTGTTGTTAATGACCAGCTCACCAGCAAACTTCTGCAAATAACTGTAGCTGGGGAAGAGACGACCAGTTTAAAGATGTTAAGATCCAGATTGCTAGATGTCAAGCTTGCAGAATTAATTTTGTTTTAACTTTAACTTACATAGTCTTCTTGTCAGGTTTGAGCAGTTTGCTGGAGAATTCGCTGAGGATGGTGAGGTATGAGATGTACGGCGGAGAGTGTTTCTCAGACTGCTGAACGAACCCTTTGAAAATAAACTCAATGCTGTCCCTGCACAGAGAAACCAGTAAGAGAACATTTCCTTTTAAGACCTGAATATTCCTTCTCCTATCTATCTAAATTTGAATCCTAATATAAGAACTACAGCTGGCTGGAAAATGAATTTCTCAGGCCTGAAATAACCAAAGACAGGACTCTTCTGTACTGGCTAAATGGAGCCATGCGGTGCAGCATCTTGACAAAACTATTTTTATTTGCGGTCAAACATAGCAATCAGTCTGTTTTAGCTGTGTCACTATTCCAGACATGTGACGTGAACTCACTGACACCGAGTCAGCAGCAGAGTGGACTGCACTACCTGTGGATCATGGCCAGGGACTCGCGGGATTTGATCTGGTCCCATCCGAAGGTGAGTGAGAAGCGTCTGGCCAGCTCCTTGATGCTGCTGTATGTCTGGACCCTGGAGCTGCAGGTGTTTCCTCTGTCCTGCTCCTGTTTCAGCCTCAGATACAGCTGAACACACACAGAAAATGTATGGAAGTCCATGCACATGACAGATTATAGAAAATCTGTCCTTATTTCTATTGCATTATTAATGATTAGCTGTGATCACAAATATATTGCAGCTTCATTTTTCTCTGTGTAAAAGAGGGGAACTTTTGTATGTATGCTATATATTAGCATATATACAAAATACATTGATTATATTTTTGTGGGGATTATGATGGACATTCGCACTCCAACATAAGATATCTGATATTATATATATATATATATATATATATATATATAATGAAATAAACATGCTTTAATTGATAGTGCATATGCATAATTACATTAGTGTAAGATAAACATGACCTGTCATATGATAAAAGATGTGATAAATATTAATGAAATAATATTTAATAATAAGTTTAAAATTCTGAATAGTCTTTTTTACATTATTGTAATATTTAATCATGGAGCAGCTTACACTTCACTATAATTAAATATTATAATTAGATTAACATGTTTAATATGGCTACTATGGTACTATAAATTTCCAGTATACTGGATGTCAAAGTTCTATTGTCTAAAATATACTTTTTTATTTTTTACACATTTAATAACTGTAATAATCTTATAATTACAATGTACAAATTTTCAATGAAATATGTTCACTACACTACCATTTAGTAAGATTTTTTTAATGAATAAAAGAAATGAATACTTTTATTCAGCAAGGATGCATTAAATTAATCAAAAGTGAATGGAAAGAATTTTACATTGTTACAAAAAAATAACATTTAAAATAAATATTGTTCTTTTGAACTTTCTATTCATTGGAGAATCTAGGTTTCCACATATATAAAAAGCAGCGCAACTGTTATCAACATTGATAATAATATTTAAAACTGATAACAGAACTGCATCTTGATATCAGCATATTAGAATGATTTTCTGGAGGATCATTTGACACTGAAGACTTGGAATAAATAACTTTTATATATATATATATATATATATATATATATATATATATATATATATAAATATATAATATATA